GGCTAATTTACGTTTTCAACCCAGTTGTTAACACTAAATTACCCACTGGTACAATAGTAATATTAGCAAGAAGCCACTCCTTTTCAAATATTATCAGCCAACAAAAGATTGGCTTTATAATTTTGAAAAACATATTCACAACAAAAAACAATAACTGCAGGAAGATCTAAGTCAGTTGTACTTACCTCCCATTCATTGGAGTAACGCATCACAATTTGGCGACACTCTTTGTTATAATTAGCTATTCCCATTTTTGTCACATCATCTGGACTCTTGAAAAAGGAACAAATTTAAATCCAAAAATTCATCTATTTCCAAGCACTTCAGCACATTTAAACTGCAGACATAGTCATAGACTATTTCTGCAAGAATCACTTATGAAAATCCATGATGAATTGTATCCAAAATTTAAAAACTAATTGTTATTTACCCACATTGTGAATCACCTTAATGATTAATGTGATTAATGATTCTACAGCAATGGATATACTTAACCAAAGAGGTATATCTATTCTTACCTTGATACCCAACTTCTGGTCTATTTCATACTCCTACAAGACAAGGAATAATCTCATAAACAAGACAAATTCCTCTTCAGATGTGAAACTTGATTGTAAGTATTTGGTAACTAATTATTGAACTTTGCAAAAGAAAAAGAACGAAAGGCTTAAAAAAATTATACTTGCAATATACTGACACTTTTCTTTGTAATTTCCTTTTTACACAAGGTACCAATTCCCAGCATCAAAAATCTCAAACTCTATCAATGTCTACCTGTCTTCTGAAGGTAGACATGAAAACTTAAAGTTCTCACCACTGGAAGGCCATGACAGTCCCATCCGAAACGTCTCTCAACATGATAACCAGACTGATGAGCATATCTTGTGACTATGTCCTGTCAATATAGTAACTCAAACTAGCAACAGTAACACTAGCACTAACAAGAAAAGAGCTTACATCTTACTTAACATCAGGATACGATATTGCCTTTGGCATTTTCCACCTTGGTCGAAACATGTAGTCAGCTGTTTGCTAAATGAATGTGACTGACAATTGAGTACTGTAACATGAATGTAAAGGCTGGTTACCACCAGAAAACTAACCTCACATCTTATCAATGTCCTATGTCTACACTCGAGAAATTATTAATTTCCTCTCAAATAAAAAATTTCATGTCTGGTTTCCTGAAAGATACTTATCCCTGATCCTACCAAAGTTTGTAACCTCAGATAAAATAAAGTGGAATAAAAAATTGAATGTAAGATTCTATTTAAGTGAATTCTTGAAAAAAACAGAGCACACACATCTCTAAAAATTATAGGTCAGTGTCACCTGTCTTTCTTATAATTCTATGATTCTTAGTAATAGCAATGAGTTGATATTATCAGACTAACAGTATTAAACTCCTGAGATTAAATTACAAATACACCATTAAATCTTAAGACCATGTATCCATAATTATTCTACAGTCCCTTGATGAAAGGTGTTGGCAAGTACTTTACCTTTATAGTACCAGCTAGGATGTGTCCATAATGAGGCAAGCCTGTGGCAAAAGGGGGACCATCATAGAAACTGTACCTGGATAAAAAAAAACATCAACAACTTTGAAAACTTTTTGATAATAAAGTGGATTTACTTTGTTTCCTACCTTCTAGGGAAAAGATAAGAAAATTGAGCATTCTCATTACCTGACTCACGCACAATCATTACACAAAAATTAGAAACTTTTCCACCATTTGAGAAACTCGAATTAATGGGTACGGGAGGGGGGGTAGGGGGGAAAAATCGTAGAGCAAGGCCGGAGAATCTTTATTGTCATAAAAAACAGCTGCACATTTTCATGAAAAGGTTACGGTCCTTTAACTGAAATAAACTTTCTCTACTCCGTACCTTGGTCTGTCCTTTGATTGGCGCAAGCACGACTGAAAGGCATCCAACTTCTCCCAAAGTTTCAATACATTTTCCTCCTCTTTGGGAAAGTCATGCTGTTCGGCAGCTCCAGCGGCCATTGAAGACGAATCGTTGTGATCAAAACCACAGAGCGCACGCCACAAAGATAACTTAGGATAGGTAAATTTGCCAACGTGAAAGGCGGAAAACCCAGGGAATCTCTTCCTTAGAGCGCCCTTCCACATGGAAGTATCAAACTGCCAAGGTGATGCAATAAAATTCCCAGTTGCCTGTTCGGGAGTTGGTGCGATCCAATATGGCGTCTGGTTACGTGAAAAGGGTAAGTGACCCTCTGCATCGATAAAACAGTTCCAGTCGCTGCAGTGGCCATTTTTGGGGGGCTAAGTAACTTTTTAATTATACCATACCAACCAAGATCGGACTCTATTCAGTTTTGAACACCCTAGAGGATTTACTTCACGGTTAGTTTGCTAAATGTACATCGACAAGGTACTAAGCAAAATCAAGACTCGTACATAATATATCTTGAATTCATGTCACCTCACATATGAAATTGCTTAAATTTTTCAGTCAACGGCTTTGGTTGGTTTGGCAGTTTCCAAAGCACCCAGGGAGGTAAGAATTGAAGTAACATTTTATTGAAATATGGCGGGTTTTTTTTGTTTTGCGGAACTCATATTTGCGCTGTGAAGTGCCTCTAAATGACGTTTGTGATCTCCGTTTAATCTTTTGAACGCAAATGGCAATACTTATTGAGTTAAAGAATTCTATTCGATGTCATCAATGTCTCTCTACCTAAAGAATGGAGGGGGGGAAAGGCAGGGGAGTTAGAGTGAGGGGT